GTACATGAATGGACCTAAATTCTGGACTATCTCTATTTTCTATTTTGTTGTCTTTACTGTTATTGAATTCTTCTACATAATTTTGTGGGATGAAATGTTATTCAGAAAAGATCCACATAAGATTGGTATTTTTTCATTCTGCATATAAACTTTTCCTGGTCCCGAGACCTTAAGTTGTTTTTTGTGTCATAGAAAGTACTTATTATTATATTGTTATGTTCTTAATAATAATCCTTTTGTTTGTTATACTGTAATAACTACATTTTCATTAATTAAAGTAAAAGCTCCCCATATTGCATTATTTTTCATAAGCTGAAGGTTACTACTTAGTAAAGGTAGTTTTCTCTGTAAACAAGTTTTCAGAGTATACGTGTAGGCCTTGACCTTAATTTGTTTCAGTTAATAACATAGGTTATTTTCTGCCTTTCCAGTTTGCTGTAAACTCTTTGAGAGTAGGGGACATGCCTTAACTATTGTTATTTACAGAATGGCACCTAACAGAGTATTGTAAGAAGCACTCAATAAGGCTTTGTGAATGAATACACTGCTGTTATTAACCGAGTCATACTATCCTGAAAACATCAACACATTAACAGTTAAGTATTTTGCCAAAAAACCCTTCCATGGCGAGACTGTGCATACGAAGCTAGAATTGTGGCTGCCGTGATATAAGATAATAGTTAAGCACACAGACCCAGAGTTGTGTTGCTTGGGCTCTACTCTTGTTGGCTCCCTTGGAAGACCTTGAACTTGATTGTTTCCTATGCCTCAGGTTTCTTGTCAGTGAAATGAAACTAATCATCTAACTCTTACTTGTGAAGTTGAAATAAATTAATATACAAAGGTATTTAGAATGGGATTTATATTTTTCTACAAAAAAGACATTAGAGGTTTATTTTTTATTTTAATTACTATGATGAAGATTTAAGGTACCTGCCTCATAAGCAAAAGAGCTGCCAGTGATGTAGCTCCTTATCTTTCACTGAAATTTGTGGGATGTTTTCCAATGAAAAAGCTTGTGTCTTGTCTTACTGAACTTGTAACTGTTTTAGGAAGCAATCAAATAGCCTATAAATAAATTCTATCTATAATTTCACAAAAGGAAGGCAAATGAGTTTCCTTACAAATAACTTAGCATATGTGTTTGATGTGGTAGTTAGATTTTAAAAACCGAGCAACCACCAGGATATCTTGAATCCAGTATATGTTTGATTTTCAAGTTGAATAAGAATTTGTAAAATTATTTTATATTATAAAGAGAGTTACTTTGAAGAATGTAATGTCCATAGTGTACTGAGCTGGTATACATGACATATTTATCTCTAATGAAATGTGGCCTAGATACATTGATGTAAGGGTAGTTTTGGAATTATTTGTTTATAAGGCTAATTACTACCACTTTCCAGCTGTTCCTTCATTCAGAATCTTAGAGCCTAGTGGACATATTAGAACTATTTATTTAAATTAAACTCTCAGGTAAATGAAGCTTCACCAAGCCATGCTTCAGACTTGAGAATTACCAAATGAGTATTTTCTCCAGGTTTTTTTTAATGGTAATTGTGAATATATGAGAATAGACTTGCACTCCATTTAAAATAGGGAAGGCATTCTGGGTAAAAGTACAGGATGGTATTTAATTCCATGAAAAGAGGGTAATTTATGCTTTGGTTCTTAATTTTTCATCAGTTTATATTACCACTTGAATAAGTGACTCACATGAGAAAGTGTGTAGTTAAAGTGTATATAAGTTTATTACATGAACTACATGCTGATATTTCAAAATTTATAAATACAGTGAGATGTCATTCCTGTTAAAGTAGTTCTGGTACTTCAAAGTACGTAAAAATCACTACGCTCAGATCATGTGATAGTGAGATTAATGTATTTTATAAAAATGTGTTGTATAAATGTTATCCTCATTTAAATCCTCAAGCCTTTTTATTTGTTCAGATATCGAAATGTTTTTAACATTTAATAACATTAAAACACCATTTTATTTGTTCTAAAAATATCTGTATGTTTGTATGTGTATATAATATACATATATATGCACACAAACATATTATCTTATAGAACTTAAAGATTCATGAAGTCCTCTAGGTTATACAGAGTAGTGGATTCAAGAAACACTAATGCCAAGTCCTTATAGAGCTGGGCCGGAAAAGGAGAAGCTCTCCAAAATGTCTATTAAAAAACATAAATAAATTTGTAATGAATTTAAAAACTATACAATATTATGAGATCTCAAGAAAGAGAAATCAGATAATATAAAAACAATTATTCATCTTTCTTTATATTTTTTGATTCTTATGTGGAAATCTTAGCCACTTGGGTGTTGGGGATGGGAAATATGTAAGAGCGAACTCCCCCAATCTAATCTGTGGGGAACAATTCAAACAAGTTAAGACAGAAGGTTTTCTGCATTGCCCTAGCCTAGGCAGGAATGGGTCTACCTGCAACCAATTATTTGTCAATTCTTCTACAGGATTGGCTGCCTTGGGACACGCTCCAGAAAAAGTGGGTAGGAAGAGCTTAGTCATGACCAATACAGTCTGGATTCCAAATCACAGGCAGATCAGGGCATTCCATCATCACGGAGAGGAGAGAAGAAAATGAGGCCGGATTTGTCAGATGTCTGCAGAAACTGGACACTTCTAGAAGAAAATTGGCTGGACTGGTGACACAGTGAATTATCAGTATAAATAGAGCAATAAGTAGAAACCTACTGCCTGCAATCGGCTTTTCTGATTTCCATTTCCTTTATGTCACAGCTATCCAACATTAACAAAATAATGAAGTATTTTATAGGGGAAAACAGAAAATCATGGTGTTGCAATGAATTGTTTTGTGAATCTCTCTCGAATAAGTGCATATTCAAATCTACAGACTATTTGAAGATACAGGTTTTAAAAAAGCAAACGGTGAAAATAATTTAAAACAGCTTGAGCTTTATGAAGTTACTTATAAGTGGGTCATACGGAAATGAGATTACAAATCTAATAATGGAGCCAACTGAATAAAGCTAATTCTTTTAGAACAAATCATTCCAGTAGATGTAAATTTTGAGATAAAGCAATTAAACTAAAATCTATAAATTGGCATTATGAGACTAATCTATGAAGATGTTTACAAAAATTGTGACATTCATGAAGGAGAAATTTTGTCAGAGCAAGCAATTAAAGTTGGGAAGAAACCATATGCTGTTTAATTTCCATTATCAAAATATTAACAATTAGTAGTGATGTCACTGGCGAAATGATAAGGGATCTTGATGAAGACTGACTCATAGGAATGGAAAACAGGGAAGTATAGTAACAAGTGAAGTGCTCAAACCAAGTAGAAGAGGTTTAGATCTTCTAGTTGAAAGGTTTTAAATGGCATGCTTTTTATCTTCGTGAATTTCAATTAGACTCTGCAATGGGCAAGCCAGGGAGGAATATTAATGACGGAGGAGAAAGCTGGGTGGAATTGCATGCAGCACAGAGCTGGCCCTACAGGACAGCAAATGTTTGTTTAGGTTGTAGCACATTAAATGCTTATTTAGAAGTTGGTGATTAACAGGTTAAAAAGCACGACTTGAAATATTTATGATGTAGGTTTTACTTTCCTCACATAATCTTCAAAGCAAAGCCAAAATTTGTGTAGACTGGCACTGTTGTTGTCATGAAAACTGCACCATCTAGGAAAAACACCTGAATTTTTGGTTTGTAATTAATACAATTGAACTGTTTAGCACGTATGGATTCTCAACGTAATATAACAGAAACATATCAGCCCACTCTGAAACGGTGAAGGTGCCTAACGTTTGTAGGGACTTCTCAAAGAAATAAACACCGTTCCATTTTGCCTTAGTAGGATAACATTGTCTTATGTGCCCTGTGAAAAGGAAAATGTCTGTTGTTGTTCAAGTTGCACATTTTATTGCCCCACATAAAATAGAAAAGAGACATATCAAATACACAATGCTTAAAATGCACGATAGAGGCTGGAATTACAACAGGTCTCCCTTGTACAGGGAAAAAATAGCCCTAATGGGGGAAACCTCACTCTGCTCCTTTTCCAACCCAGGGGGGGACCGAAAATCGCAGAGGTAGTAGAAATGCAGCAGGTCCAATTTGCTTTGGGAAAATGTAAACTTTCTAGAGTTGTTGATGAGTTTGATCACCAGCTAGGGAGAAAAGGATGCCTGTGAAAGGAAATGTGGAGGGGAATTGCTGAGAGTGTGTAGGAGGTTTCCTAAGCCGTATAATTTGCAAATGGACTTTACTGACCGGCTCCAGGGAAGTCTCCAACCCTCGGAGCTTTGAGGAGAAATCGGTCCTGCTGGCAGGGGGTGTGAAGGAATGAGTGGTATATGCAGATGGCTCAGGCAATCAAAGAAACTTCCCGCTGTCTGATTCCACGAATATCGGTTGAACTTGGTCCTGTGTGGGTGTGCTGATGACAAAGTAAAGGCGTGATTAGTCCCCCTCGCCCTCCAGCTGGAGCGGTACCGCTTTACCTCTGCTCCGCAGCCACGTAGCTCCAGAGCCAGGGAATGTTAAGGGCAGGCAACAGGGCGCGGAGCCGGGGAGCCAAGGGCGCTCAGACACCCACCGGCAGTTTTTTAGGAACCTGTGGGCCTCCGGGGAGCCCCGGCGGGCTGCCGCGGGGAGCAGTCCCGGGAGGTGCGAGGGCTCCGCTCCTCCGGCGCGGTGTGGATGCCGGGTGCAGCGATCCAGGCGCAACTGGGCTCCGGCGGCCAGCCGGGGCTGTGCAGCTGCAGGTGCCCTGGGGGCGGCCGCTCGGGCTTGGAGAACGGGCGGGGGTCCCTGCACATCCCGAAACCCCGTTAGCCCTCCTCCCGGGCCTGGCTCCTCCTTCTTCTCCAGGCGTGGGGCTCGTGCCCGCTACAGCCCGCGCGCACCGCGCCTCCGCTCCAGTCCCCCACCCCTCCCGCCTGCTCCCGCCAACGCTTCCCCCTCCTCCTCTTCCTCCTCCTCCGCCCATCACCGCCACTACGGACGCCTTCGCCTCCTTCTACTCCTGGCACTGCCGCCACCGCTCCTCGCGCTCCTCCCCGACAGCCACCAGCCCTCCGCTCCCCGTTCGCTCGGCGCTCGGCTGCTGCAGTCAGGATCTCTGGCGCTCTCTTCTCTCTCAAGTTTCCTGTCTGCTCGAGATCAGGGCACAGGGAGGAAAACACCCAGTTCTGCTTGTTGTTTCAGGTAAGGTCGCACACATTAGTCCCAACGGGGACCCTTTCCATTTGCCTCTGGCTCCCGTGCATGATGCTTCATCCCCTCCACGCTCCCCTGCTCCTTGGAAACCCAGGAGGTTCAGGTCGCCCCCACCTCCCCAGCCCATCTAAAAAATAATTTCGGCGCCCATAATCAGAAGCATATTTACAAGTAAAATAAGGTCCGAGACACCCTCCCGGCAGCACGTTAGCCTGGCTCTTTTTCAGTCTTCAACTTTGCACGCTGTGCTCGGCGAGCCTGGCGGCCAGGGCAGACCCGGAGCCTCGCGCTCCTGCCGGGCTGTGGTCCTCCGCTCCGAGAACAGCTGTCAGACGCGGCGTTTCGCAGCAGTTGAACCCAACCGTCTGCCTCCAAGATGTGATGTTAGGCAATTGTAGATGGACAGGAACGGGGATTATTATAGTTTATTTTAGAGAGAGTGAAGAAGTGAAGTGGTGAGGGCTGCAGTTCACTGTCATGAAAAGAATAATAATCAAAAAAGTGGGCTGGCTGCCCCCTTGCTTTTCTCGCCAGTGTCGCGGAGGTGGTCTTGGCGGAGGGGATGGTGGCATGAAGTGCCCATCTCTCCTCCCCCTTCTCACTCTCTCCACCAACCCACACTCTACTCTAGCTCGTATGTCAGTTCAGGGTCCCGTGTGTTATCATTACATGTCTCTGAGTGAGCACAAAACAGTGTTTGCTGATGATGGGGCTGGGGAAAGTTACTGGAAGAGGACGGTGTGATTATTTGATAATCTGGTCACCCTCCCCCCCCCCAAAAAAAAACCCCAAAACCCAAACTTACCCAATCATCATGTTCTACACTCACTCCCCAGAATAACCTCCATCGCGTTAACTCCAATTCCCAGTCTTTTGGGCTATTTGGATGGTGGGACTGAATTTAATTTTTAGTGTATTTTGGTTTTCTTCTATGGCTTTATGAAGAGCAGCGATGAAGACGAAATTGAACATCTACAACATGCAGTTACTGCTTCTTGTATTCTTGATGTGGGACCCAGCCAGGTGAGATGTTTATGGACTCTTTTAATTCAGGTTAAAGGTGTGTTTCTTGAATGGCCTCAGGGCAGGGGTGGCTTTTGAGAAGCTAGAGTATTTTGAAGAACTATTTCTAATGAAAAAAAGATTGTACCAAGAAACTGAACTGTGAAGTGGCAGAGATGGTAAAAAGTTCACTGCTTCTTGCTTTTAGCTGTCAGTGCAACAGTGAACAGAGATAATTTTTTTAAATCACCAAAGAAAACAATACCCTTCGAATGGCATATTTTTGCAAGGAATTGAAATGATTAAGTTATATGCACTTGCGGTAACACCAAAAATCAGTAAAGAAGTCAACACTCTTCCTTCAAGCCAAATGAAAAAGCTTGACCTACAATGATTTGTGTGCTAACTTATTTTTTTTTTGTTTTTTCCCCCTTTTTTAAAACCCATCTTGGCTCTTTTAGTCAAAATAGAAGCCTAAATGATGTGTGAGCCTTAAACCTCTAGGTGGAGGTAGTATACAACTCCACAGTCACAAACAATGAAATAAAAGCTTGATTTATTAATCAACTTTTTATATTATTGATTTAGAGATCTTTTACTCTTAAAATGGTTAGTGTCATAAAGAATACTGATTTTAAGCACGTAACTATTTTTTTGCCTATGTTCTACAGACATGAAATAATTCTTACTCCTTGCAACAGCTTTATCATAGTTACGGCCTTTTTATGATTTTATCTCCCATGGGCATCTTTTATTTATTGCTTTTAGAATATGTTTTCAAAATACCAGGGACTAAAAATACAACATGCATAAGACTGTTCATATAACCATTCCTTTCTCTTTTTTAAGAGAAATAAGTCTTTATTATATCCTTATGTCCCTTTTAATTTTTCATTTCCCTGCCCAAACAATTGTCAAAGTATGAACATATCTTCTAGAACTGAGAAGAAATCTCTTTAGAAAGTCTCATTTTAAGTGGAGAAAATCTTAATACTGACTTTAGAAAGAAACTGTGATATGTTATTAAAAAACACTTTTGACTAAAAATCTGTATGTGGAACTTTATGATTGAATTTAAAATTACCTTAAGGTAACATAGAAACTGGAGGGTATGAGCTAATTTGCATAATTTTTAAATGCTTATGTTCATATTGGGGTTTTAATATTTTCTTTCAAGACAATAGTTTAAGTTGGTTACCCATTTAGAATGTATTGTGACTATTTTTAGCTACTAGCTGTATAATCATTTAAATGCAAATGGACTGTGTCAGTGATATTTTACACAATACAACTTGATCAGAATGCAGATTATACAGAATCTTATTTTAAAGGAGTGAACAAATCATGGTCAATTTATAATCAGTGAAAATCCTCAGTGCTTAACTATATCTCCATCTATTAATTTTCTGTTCTATACTTGGCCAGTAATGCTCGTGCCAGTATTTTATTCTCTTATATAAAGGACTCTCTCTCTCTCTCTTTCTCTTTCTCCCTTGGCTAGTAATTTAAATGTCTGAATCATTCTGGGGAAAAAGTGGCAATGAAAAGGGACATTCTGTTTTATACATCCAGTTTCTTTTGCACCAATTTGCTGGATATCACAAAATTAGGTCTCTAGCTTTTGATGGAGAAATAATGGAGAAAATCACTCTTTCTAACCCTCTTTCTGGTGATATTTTAAGACAACGTGTTCTGTCTGCAAATTTCTCACAAAAGTACCTGGGCATGTAAATCTTAGGTGACCCTTGTGGCTGTCCTCCAGGCCAGTGTGGAGAGGTCTCCTCCAAGGCTCTTTGCAGCTATGTATGTGCTGCAGATCCTTCCAGAGCCCACCTCCACTTCCTGGCTACACTGAAGCCCGCCTGGCACGCAGCCAGTGGAGTTCCCCTGATGTCTATATTGTACTTGGCCATTGGGTGGAGGTATACCCAAAGTAAGGAAATCATCTTGGCTTGAAAGAGAAAAAGACATAAAGAGAAAAAGAAAGACATTTATGAGGAAGACAGAAATTTAGTGCCTCCAAGGAGGCAATTTTCCCCCAATTTATATTCGAATCACTGAAGATATATTTCAGGAGATCCTTTGATTATCATAGGTTTCTAAATGCAGAATAACATTCCACTTAGTGTCTGCATGTGATCATCTACAATCATAACATATTGTATGGAATGGGCTTTAGGAAAAAAGGGGTAGTCCACACACAATGCTAAATGGAAGATATCTGAAATAATTTTGACATGAAACTTTATAATAATCTGGTATTTAGTATCCATTTTCTGTGGCCTGCTTACCTTCCCCATAGACATATTAGTATTTATAGAAATGCAAGGAAGAAAGAAAATGGGTTGCACTAATATTTTGGGGGGGCTTAAAATTCAAATCAAGAAATAAGTGCATGTTGGCACTTTCAAAACACACATATGTGTATATATATATATATATATCAGCTTGTAAAATTATCTGTTTAGGTTGGTGCTGGCTGGCATCCAAGAAGATGAGGCTAAAAATAACATTACCATCTTTACAAGAATTCTAGACAGACTTCTGGATGGTTACGATAATCGGCTTAGACCAGGACTGGGAGGTAAAAATAGTTTTATTTCTTTTTGAACTCTCATAAAATAGTGTCTTTAGAAGTTAAGGTTAATATTTATATTTTAATATACTTTATATAGAACTGCATTGCTATACATTAAAAACCATAGATAAGAGAAGGTAAAGTATATAAAATAAACATTTTCTGTGATTCCTTTTGTACACACTAAATATATATTTAGCGTAACTTCATAAAAGCCTAGCCTTTCTGCATGAATAGCTTTTAAATTAGTTCATTTGTAAACTTAGAATATGTAAAAGGGTAACATCACTGGGCAGAAATGCTTTTGGTTACAAAAGCATTTGTAACCATCTTTGGTTTCCTTCATCATATTTTACAAATGCCTGTTTTAACATCAGTACACAAATGCAAAAGTGAGTTACATAAATGAAAGAGTATCTGGTTGTATTTCAACACATACTCTTTTTAGGATTCTGTGATGCATTTTATTATACAGCGTGTGACATTTCTACTATGTAGCACAGGTTGGCATTCTTGAAACTTTCAAAGACGTTTTAGGTGTACATTAGCCATAGGCCTAAATTTACTGGGCTGTTGGCACAGTTTGACTTCAAATTGAAACATTCATTTTTGACTCAGAAAAAAATCTATTTTTATTCATGAAAGTGAAGAAAATTAGGCTTGGCTAATATGTTAAATTTTAATTATCCTTCAGTATAGTTGGATGATAACCTAAGGAGATCAGGTGAAAGTAGGGTAAATGTATAATTCAGTAAAGGATTCTGAGTTGAAATATTATAACTCATCACTTCTAACATGAGATACATGTCTGCACGCATGCATTGATCACATGTGTGTTGTACTTATTCGGATGTTCAGTTCAACAATCAATTCAAAATTAATACAAACTAGTTGAACATGATATTAACCAACGATTTTTATAGTTAGCCTGATTATTGCTAGGTTGGCAACCTAGCAATAGTAAATTGCTTAAAAAGCAATTGATTATGTATGTGCCTGGATGTTTTTGTAAATATTTTCTTTGAAAAAAATGCAGGTAGTTGTTAATTTTATGTACATTTGACAATTATATGGTTTGGATTATCTAGGAATCAGAAAAAGTCAGAAAAGACACAACGTGTTTTTAAATAATATACCATTTAACTGCTATTAGTTTTTTACTTGTTTCCTGAATAGTACCTTGAACTTTAAGAGAGAAGTGCTGGGAAAGAACAATGTTCAGAAAGATGATACATTTTCTCTCAAAAAGAACTCAATTGCTTAATCTACACTTAGTTTTCTTTAAGGGAAAATTGAAAGGAACAGAATATTTCCTTAGTACTTCATATGCCTAGTGTGCATGAATATCAGGTATTGCAGTCCACACTAGCACATTTGATAGCGACCTATGGCCAAACTCATGTAGCAAAGGTATGCCAGCATAGGGCTCTCGCAGTGCATCTCAGTGGTTTGAGAGGTACATTGTACAAAGGCAGATATTTTCCTAAGCCACAGATTGTATTACTATTATTTTTTAATGATGTACTGTCAAAAATGAAAAATATTTAAGCTAGACCTTAGATTTTGTCTCTGAGGCTTTAGGAAAAATAATTACATGGTGTTTGTTTGGTGGGTAGTAGATACTACCTGTTGTAGGATGTGGGTTTTGCCATTTATCTCTTTTTATTTCTTTTGTAATATCTCTTACTTTCATTTTATTTCCATTATTAGGACTCAAATATAAATCCCTGTCACCATATTGTTTGTATTAATGCAATAGATTAAATGGATATTCTTGCCTAGTGTCTTTGTTCCCCCAAGTTTATCTGACATCATTCATATGCCAGTATCAGTCGTCTTCTTTTATTCTCACAGTTCTTTCCAGTGACACTCTCTTCTTTTGATCAGATGGCTTTGGTGGCTCCCTATTGCCTTCAGTAGAATGCAGTGAGGAGCAGCGGAAGGAATATGAGTCTTGGAGGCTAGTAGATCTAGGGTAGATTTTCTGTTCTACCCCCACACAAAACTGCACCTTGGCCAGATAATCTCTGTTTCTTTTATTTAAAATAGCCATGATACAGCCCCCTTTCTGCCTCATAGGGCTGACAAGAGGATTATATAAACAAAAATGCACACAAAGGGTGTGCCACCTATTGGCAATTCAACAAGGATCTATTCCGTCTCTCCCCTCTTAGGTGCTCAAGTTGCCAGACAAGGTTTTCTACAATCTAACTTCTCTGCCTTCACTTTTCCTTTGCCCTCTCATCCGCTCTGCACTTCAGATGCATCTGTCCATTTTCCCTTGACAATCCAGGCACTTCTTCTCCCTTGGCCTTGGATCACATAATCAGCTCTCATTGGAATTATTCTTCTTTATCCTCCCTGATCTAAATCTTACCTTTCCTATAAAGACCACCTTAACATGGTCCACTTTAGCAAACGTTTTTCTTAACTGAAACGAAGCGCCCAGATTCAATTTTCTCTCTGTTGCACTTCTTTAGTAGTGGTTAGCTCTGTATCACATTTGGTACTTATTATGTGTTATCTTGGATTTTTTATTATCTTCTTATGTGTTTCTTGTTACTTTAACTAGATTGCAAGCTCACTGAAGCAAGATATTGTATCATAAATTCTGTGTGCTCTCAGCAACTAAGTATTGATTTGCATATTGTGGGCATAAAATAAATGATGGCTTGATTAACTTTTTCTGTGACCACTTAATCATCTGTAAAATGGAGCTACTCATATCTGGCTGTCCATGTTGAAATGATATGTTGAGCACCATGCTGCAGATCCGTAGTGTTGCTTAGTGAAGGGACCTAACTTTAGAGTGAGGGTTTAGGTAAAATCCTGGTTCTGGTACTGACTAGTCCTATAACCTTTGAATACTAGCCCTTCTGTGTCCACATTTGTCCTGTATAACATGGGATCACTAACAGTAATATTCTTAAAGTGTGGATGAATTAAATACAATGATATATGCAAATTAGCACAGTGACTGGATATCATAGAGAGTTACTAAATAGCAATAACTAAAAAACTAAATGTACTGTTGTGAATTTAAATTACTATCATGGTTACCTCTGCATTTAAAGTTCTTAACCCTGATGTTCATGTCATTTCGAATAGAAAGTTCAGGGAAATTACTTGTTTCATTATGTCTGAGAATTTAATAAGGTGAAAATTGGTTTGATTCCATTTAAATATGTCAAAGCGAACATCTCTATTGATGAATAATTTGAATAACTAATGTCAATTATCATTTTCTTTCCTTTGTGACTTTAATATAAATAAATACATAGGAAAGATCAATCAGTTTCGGACAACAAGTTAGAAAAATAGTTTATTTCACCTAGTTCTGCCACTTATTATATTTTGTCTTATCTCAGACAAGTTACTTAGAGATCCTGAGATTTGGTATTTTCTTTGGAAAAATTGGAATAATTCTATTTTATTCTGAGAGAAGTGGGGTAAATTGGGATTCATACCTATAACAAAGGTTAAACAGTATACTGAATGATAAAATTTTAAGACATTTGCTAATGAACAATAGATCCTCTTTAAAATTATAGTAAGATCATGCCAGACCATCTGCTCAAATGGTTTGCACTTCTCAAGTGCTCAAACCCTGCAGTGGCTTGCGCTTCATTCTGAACAAGGCCCAGACTTCCTGCCATGGCCGCCAGTGCCCAGCGTTGTCTGCCTCTCTGTGCTTCCTCTGACCTCACCTCCTCTGTGCTAATGCAGTGCAGTCACACTGCCTTCTTCCTGTTCTTTGAACTCACTGGGACGCTCCTTGGAGCCTTTTCCCTGGATATCCATTGATCCCACCTTCTCAATGAAGCCTACCAAATAAATACAAAATAATTGATATCTTTATTAATGTTATGTCAACTTCTTATTTTTTGTCTTTTACCTAGAACGTAGGCTTATCAAAGTCAGGGATTTTAGCCAGGGATTGTTGTTTGATTCCCCAGCATTGAGATAGTGATGGGTGCATGGTAGGCACTCAAATATTTCTTGAATAAATTTTAATTTTATTTATTGTATTTTATTTTATTTTAGTGTTCTACCAGGAAAATAATCAACTACAGAAGTTATTCTTAAAATAAATGTAGCAACTGTCATTTAATTACCACATTAAAATTTCACTGTTAATATCAACATATTTAAGGCTGAGTTCTTGGTGAATTGGAATAATTATTACACCAATTACTCAAAGTCTTTTTTAAGATTTTATTCATTTTATTTTAGACAGAGGGGAAAGGAGGGAGAAAGAGAGGGGAAGAAACATCAATGTGTGGCTGTCTCTTGCACATCCCCTAGTGGGGACCTGGCCTGCAACCCAGGCACATGCCCTTACTGGGAACTGAACCAGTGACCCTTTGGTTCTCAGGCTCGTGGTCAATCCACTGAGCCACACCAGACAGGGTCCATTACTCAAACTGTTGATTTAATGTTAGATGTAATTCTATCATGAATTAATTGTGATTTTGGGTGATTCATTTATCCCAACTGTTACTTAATTTTCTCATCTGTGAAGTGAAAGAAGTTCTACTTATTTGGTTTATATCTTGAAGGGATATTGTGGGCTTAAGTAAATTAAAAGTCTTAAGAATGTATAATGTGACATAACACTTATAAGTATTAGTATTATTAGGAATAGCAGGGAAGGGTTCTTCAAGGAGAACATCATCTTAAGAGGTAGTATCCTTTAAAATCATGGCCAGAAAATATTGGGATCTCTTGTGCATTTGTACGCTTACTTCCTCATGAGCCTGGAAGCCTGACATGGGTCTTCCTTGATACCTTATCTGCCAAGACCACACATTCAGATCAGCTAGAACTAATATTGAATCAATTTTTCTATTTGTCTTCATCTAGTCATTGAAGCTAGCAATTCATGGCATCAGCCTGTGATTTTTATATTTCATAAGAGGTTTCCAATGGGTAACTGAATGAAGGTAGCAACATTTACTTTTTGGACCAATTTTATGGGGTCATTGGAAAAATGAATGTATAGACAG